TTTTTACATCCTTTTCTTGCTGGAAGAAGGCAGCTGCGAATATTAGCATTTCAGCTGTGCCCTCCCATGTACTCTTTGCAGTTCAGACCTATATAATTCATTCATAGAAATATTGCACCTGAACTGGACAGGGTTAAATTAAAGTCACTGCTGTGTTAAAGCCAGGCTTTGAACAGGAAGATTAGATCTGTAAAGAGGTGGCAGCACAGATTAGATCTGTAAAGAGGTGGCAGATGCTATTGGCAGCCAGTGTTGGCAGTCAGTGTTGGCAGTCAGGAGCAACAGTTCTGCCCCTGGCAGGGGCACAGGCAAATCTCCTTAACTCTTTGAGCCCCTGTTTCCCCTGTAAAATAGATGTAGGTGATGCATCCCCAGTGAAGTTCTCCGAGAGCTACATATGAGATGTGCTGAAGGGGAGAAAATTGTTCTTTCCCTTCCTTGATTTATGCTTTTGAAAAAAGGCCTTATACTTTGAAGATGATAGGTTTGGTGCTCAAAGTTATTCCCTGCACAGTTTTGGTGATTTGGAGGTCTGCAGGCTTCTTTAGATGGGATTTTAAATTGGGAAACTAAGCCATCATGTTTTCTGGAGAGGAAGGTAAATTTTGCAAGATTTGGAATGCTGCAGAGGCTGTATGCTGCACTTTTATAAAGGTAGTTGTCCATCACTGTACAAATTTTCACACAGGAAATGTAACAGGAAAGATTCTTAAGGGTTTAGGATATCCATTGTGTATCTAACCTACTCTCATAATCTAATTCACTGCATAAACAAGCTGTACGCTGGATCTTGCTTTCTGATGGCTCCTGGGATACAGACAGCTATAGGTGCCAGCAGAGGGCTCGCAGCCTTCCTGCTCCAGGTAGCAACGCTGCCTTTGTCCAACGGGGCAGCCCTTGCCAGCCGCTCAGCTCCGTGTCCCCAGGTGTGTATTGCATCCAGGTGTGAACAGGAGGGAGTGGTTCTGCCAGCTATTCGAGTCTTGCCATTTGGTCTAATGATAAAACTACGTGACTTCTGAAATCCTCCACTAAAGCAGTTTGTGTGTTGAAGCCATTATAAAACATTCTCCCTTCACCAACAAAGATCTTCTGATCTTCCCTGCAATATCTGTTGTGAAAGGCTGTGTGGGATAGACCGGGAGATCTTCTGACATCTCTTCTAGACCTTAATCCTATCAGTTAAAATGTGCTAGAGCCACCTAAGAACTGCACTTGCTGGGTTTTCTGAGTGAAATGAGATATAAAGGCACAAATCACAATAATGTGAGTTTGAGAGCAAGGGACATCCTGTGATTGATCCTTTGAGCTTAAATACTTCCCATTTAAAGGGAGCCTAAGCATGCTCTGAAGTCTCTGCAAGGAACTGCATGGCTGGAAGATCCAGTAGGTCCTTGAGTACTTCCTTGAACCTCCGATCCAGTGTGGGAGAAAAAATGCATCAAGGAATTATTACTTTCACAAAAATTTTCTAATATGCCTTCTGTACACCTTCCAAGCTGACTTTTGCCACCCATTCATTACTGCCTTGCTTGTCATCAAGGCTTGTTGCCATCCACTAGAAATCAGAAAGGTGGATTATCATTGCCAGCATCATCCCTAGCATTTACATTTACTGGGTGGGCTTTGAGAAAACCAAACTTGTTCCAAGGCATATTCTTCAGTCCTTACAGAACAAAAGGAAATCTGTCGTAAAGGCTGAGTATATTCAGAAGTTGTATTTCTTGAGATCAGTAGGGAAACCAGAGACGTTACTCTCTATCTGATGGCCTGTACCATTACCTTTAATTTGGACCCTGCTTCTGCCCCTGGTTTAGTGCCTTCCAGACTTCCTAGATACTTTCGACCACAGGATCCTATAACCTTAGCACTTGTGTCAATCTCCATGTAAAAGAGGTTTCCCTCTAGCTTTTAAATCCACTTCAAGGGGTTGTCCTGAAATATAAATAATTTTTCATGCCTAAGAATTTTTTATATAAAGATTCTCTGATGAGGGAAATCCAAAAGCAGCTGCTGTGTTGCTTCAAGAGGGAAAACGTTCATCTGAGTAGAAACAGATGCGGCAATGGAGAGAGGAAGAAATGCAGAGCACAGGGATTTTATTTTGGTCCAGAAATTGGCAAATGATATAAAGGGGTGATTGAACACTTCACAGAGGCAGAAACAAAACAAAACAGCCCTGAGATCTGAGGACAAGAATTCTGGGAAGTGTGGGCCTGTAGCTATGAAACATACTTGACTAGATCAGCTTTGGCGGAGTCAAAGTTGCTTCCCTGGCTGGTTCGTGTTCTGGCTGCAGTCACCAGAGGCTGGGCGCTACTTTCATTTGTCTGCTTTTAGCTGTCCTTTTCAGCAGGGTCTGTGTTTTAGTCATTCTTGATTTACTGTTTGGCTTTTCTGATTTGACTAAGACACTGGTTTAGTGTGAGCAAATAGCTTCTTGCTTGGCAGGCTCTGGCTTGCTATGGATCTTTTGTTGATAATGGCTAAAACTGAGGATTTTTGAGGACAATTTAGGAGCTGAAGATGCAACTGAAACAAAACTCAAGATGACAGACCATTTCTGACTCCACTTTGGAGCAGGGCTGGCAGGAGGCCAAGAACTTGTGTTTCTTATTCTCCCATATATATCAAAAGATTTTTCTAGGTGTGTGCTCTTTTTTTTGGTCACATGTAAAGATATTTAACTGTTCTCAGTGTTTTAATGTATGACAGTGTCTCCGCAAATCCTTATTATTTATACTCTTTCCACCTTTCCTTTTCCGTAACTTAAGCCTGAGAACCACACTCAGTCCCTGTTAGTCACTGGTATCTTCCTCTCTGCTGCCCAGAGACCTTTGACTACAGCAGACTGCTATACAGTAACTAACTTTGTTATCCTTCATTTATCCAAGTTTACAAATTAAAGGTGCCATGGACTGTGGCAGCACTTTCAGTTACAGACAGCTGAAGATACAGTCCTGAAGTCTGTAAATGAATCTTTAGTGTAAAGCATTTTATTTGGCATGAGAACTCTGACTAAAGTCATACAGACCTAAATATAACATGTAGGTGACATATTTCAGTTAGTCTTGAGTAACTTAAATAATGTCTTACCATCTGCAAATTTTGCTCCTTGCTCTGCTTTTGCGATTATGAATAGCTGATGGTACTCTGAACAGTCCCAGCTAAAAATTGCCTGTGTATTTCTTTTCTTGATCCTTGCTTGTCACATACTCTTTATCAATTATAGTGATTACCTCTTAATTTTGATTTCCTCATAATCTTGTGGAGAATTTATAAAGACCTTTTCAAACCTGATGAACCTAAAAGTTAATTTTCTGTACTATTTTACTGTTATATGCTCAAAGTTCTCAGACTATGCAACTGTTGGACCATGACAGTCCTTTTCCTGCTCCGTTTCACCTCTGCACTTTCTGCACTGCTATAACTTACTGCATTTCTGACACATTTAAATTACAAATGCATGAGAACAAATTCTTCTGTTCTTTCTATTGTCTCAATACAGTGCTCGGAGTAACTTTGGGTGCCTAAGCTAATAATAAATGGGCCTGAAAACCTCTTTTCTGGCTCTTGCTTCTGAATTTGCCTTTCTTGTTCATTCTACAAAAGGACACTATGGTTACATTGTACCATCCTAATGAACATTCCAGTGAGGCTGGATATTGACTCGCAAAGCTGTGGGCTGCCAAGGGGGAGAACAGGAAGGTTTGCAGCTCGGCCCTGTGATGCTTTCAGAAGAGCACATAGGGAAGGCTGTGATGGCTTTCCTTGTCTCCAGCTGTGCTCCTTGGCCATTCTGTTGGGAGTAGGACACCCAAGTGAGTGACAAGCAGTGAGCTGTGAGGATACACAGCAAGAAGCACTTAAGGTGACATTTGCTGTCCTTGGAATAATTTGTCCAAAGCATTCTTTTTTCTCCTCGCATGGAAAATAAGAACATAAAGGCACCAAAACTGATTGTCTGCCTTTGGTCCTGGCAGTAGTCAGGTGAATAACTGAGAGAAGCATCAGCATCAGTAACCTCTGACAGCATTCCACAAAGTAAATACAAGCCAGAGAAACTTCACTTTTTCATTTCCTAATCCAGGTGTCTTTGTTTCGGGAATGCAATATCCTAAAGACAGCTCATCGCTGCCATTTTTCCAAGTGAACTTTGAGCTGTGTTTAAGGCTGGAAGAGAGCTGAACACCACCACCATGCAACCAAGTCCACGTTTTAAGCTGGCGCTGAGTAATGTTTGTACAGTTCAGATAACAGATTGCTAATTAAATGAACTGGAGATCATAAGTGATCTCCAGGCAGATACGTGTCAGACTTGTGTGTTGCTGAAGTTATGGGAAAACAAGAACTGACTCATTAACTGCATGCTTCCCAGGAGGAGGAAAACAAACATCACTTTTGGCTCTTGTGCTTCAGTCTTACTGAGGTGTTTTGATTTTGACTTCACTGGATGTTTCCACTTCGTAGTGTGCCATCTCATGAAAAAAAACATTGGAAGCCAACTCAAATGAAACCGGCATCGTCCAGGCGCCCACACTGGCGTCTCTGGCTGGGTCAGGCGCTGCCCACATGCACACAAGTCCCGCCGACACTGTTCCGGGTCAGTCCACGACCTGTTCATCACCCAAAGTTTACACCCTGAAAGTCTCTCCTGCACCGCGCCGCTCTTACGCCGGGGCCTCTCTTTAATGGCGGGGTGCTGGCGGCCGCGGGGACCAGCTGCGCCCCCTCCGCCGGGCCCGCGCCGACCCTATCGCTGCACAGCGATCCGCGCGTGGCCGTGCCCCCTCGGGCAGCCAGGCGGCGCGGCAGGGCGGACAGGGGGGCCGGGCCGGGCCGGGCCAGTAGCACCGCCCCGCGGCGCGGCAGCCAGTAAGCCCGGCGGCGCTGGCGGGCGGGGCTTCCCGGCCAGGTGGGTGCCGGCGGGTGCCGAGCCGGGCCGGGCTGGGCCGGGCCGGGCCGGGCCGAGCCGAGCCGAGCCGAGCCGACTGGCGGCTTGTGCTGCCGGCATGGTGAAGCAGGAGCCTGCTGGGGCGTCGGCGCTGGCGGCGGGGGGGCAGGCCGCTGCTGCCACTGCCGCCACTGCCGGGGTGAGGCTGTCCCGGCGTCGCTGGATCGTGTTGCTGCTGTTCAGCAGCTACTCCCTGTGCAACGCTTTCCAGTGGATCCAGTACGGCAGCATCAACAACATCTTTGCGCGCTTCTATGGAGTGAGTGCCTTCGCCATCGACTGGCTGTCCATGAGCTACATGCTCACCTACATCCCCCTGCTCTTCCCTGTCGCCTGGCTGCTGGACAAGAGGGGCCTGCGCCTCATCGCCCTGGCAGGCTCGGCCCTCAATGCCCTGGGTGCCTGGGTGAAGCTGGGCAGCCTGAAGCCTCACCTCTTCCCCATCACCGTCCTGGGGCAGGTCATCTGCTCCCTGTCCCAGGTCTTCATCCTGGGCATGCCCTCGCGCATCGCCTCCGTCTGGTTTGGCTCCCGCGAGGTCTCCACTGCCTGCTCCATTGCTGTCTTTGGGAACCAGGTAATGGGTGGCTGGCCGGCACAGGCATGGGCTGTTATCTGCTTGGCCAGAGACTGGGGTGCTAAGGGGGTGAACCAAGGAGGGGGAAGATATGTGTAGAGCCTGGAGGGCAGCAGTAGTGATAAGAGGCGTGAAATTCCCTCTGGGAAATGCAACTAGTATGTGGAGGGATGCAGCTGGGGTTAGGCTGTGGGCTTAGGCTTTGGGCTGATGGTGGTGGCAGATCTGCATGGGAGATCTAAGTGGGATCTACATCCACAAAAGTTGGGGGCAGCGTGGGGGCTGTGTATGATCTTGGCTTTGAGAGGTGTTTGAGCTCAGGGTCTTTTCCATTGCCCTCCTACTCCCATGCCTGCGAATCTCCAGTTCAGGGGTACAATTCAGTTGGACCATTGGGTGGACTGGAGGTGAATGCACATTGCTGAGAAACGCACTTTAGGCAGAGTGTCCTGCAGACCTCAGATTTGTGGCTGCATCTGGACCTGAAGCTGCAATGTCCTCCTCCTGCTAACAACTAAATGAGACTAAGAAGATTAGCGGTCTACTTGAAAGCTCTACTTGACACTGAGACCTGGAGGACTTTCCTACCCCTTAAAAGTAGGTACAGGGCTTTCACAAGCAGTTGCTTTGCAAAGAAGCAAAACCTTCCATCAGGCTAGGGCGAGGTAAACTCCCTGAGCACTCTTTTATCAAGGTCGGTGAGGAAGGCCAGCAATCCACGCTTGCTCAAGCTGCGATGGTCTCCTCTTATAGCTAGCTGTCGCTCAGAGGAGCTACGTCTTTCCACACCTTTGAAAGGATTGGGGAAATAGCTTCTTGATACTTGCACCGGAACACCCACTCATCCCTCCTGAATGAAGCAGACAGGCCAATACTGATGCAATATGGCATCAGTGAAGTGAGTATGGCTGTGCAATGCTGCCATGACGAAGAGGGAAGCAGAACCTGGCATTAGCTGCTAGGCTGGATCTGTGCCCCTTGCATTAGCACATAATGTGTTCACCGACACATGACTTGCCCCACCCTGGACCATCTTCGATTCAGCCTGTGGATGGCTGCTATTCAAATTTGAATGGTTTGCAATTAGGGTATTTTCTAATGCAGGTTCTTCCTCACAGATAACTTTATGTGCAGTGGGTTTAAGGTCTCCTTTCCCCACATTCCTAGGTTTCTATGTTTAGATACTGCTGAGGCAAAAAGGAGGTGGATGCTCAGAAATGGTATTTGAGGAACTGAAGTTTTTGGAACACTGCTGGGAATTTAAGGAGTCTCTTGATTGTGTCTTTTGGAAAAACATGCTTATCTTAGCTCTGAGTGAATCTAAGCTTTCCTCTTTGCTCTTATCAGCCAGGCTAGTGGGCTGGTTTTTATGTATTTTAAATGAATCTTTAGAGTGGAAGGCATTTAACTTGGCCTGAGCACTCTGCTGATTTAGGAGTAAATAAGTAACTGAGCATTTTGCAGTCAGACTGTTTTTTCAATTCTTCAGGTGGAGTTACTCAACAGTGTGCAGAAGAAATCCAAACAATGACGTTTTCAGCCTGTGATCTATGCCTGTGTGGTATCCCCATTGTCCTAAAAAGAGTGGGTTAGTGTAACAGTTACGAAAAGCAAATTTCTGATGCACTTTTGGTGCTGAACACTGCTCTGGGGTTGAACTGACATGTCAACAGGACCTCAGTTCAGTACAGTCTTTACTTTGTAAGCCCAGGCTTTCCTTTTAGAGCATCAAAGAAGTCAGAAATGTCAATGAGCAAAGGCAGGGCATACTTCATAGGAAGAACTTATTAATTCCTTTAGTCAGTGGTCTTGAGGTCTGTAATCAGAGTGAATGAAAAGTCGTTATTTTGTTTACTGATGGTGTTGGGCAGGGGAAAGAAATAGAGGCATTCTTTCTTCCTGAACTGCAGTTAAAGACTGTCCTTTAGGGAGTGTTAGCAAAGGTTATAGTACAGTGGGTTTGTAATTGCAGTGTGGCAGTATGGCAAATTATTCCCTGTGCTCATTCCACTCAAACTGTATGGTCTTCCTTTCCTTGCCACATCACTCAGTTTCATCTCCTCAAGGCAGAAAACTCTGTCATGAGTTATCACGATTATCTTTATTGAATGCCAAGCTCTGATGTTCTGCTTCATCAAGAACTGCAACCAGCGGCACAGAGGAGTGGGACATTCTCACTGTTCTTTTGTTTGATACACCCGCCTGCTGTCTGCTCCTGCCCTCTCAGCTAGGCAGCGCTGCCCTGAGGAGAGTCCTGCCTGCTGGTTCATCTAGGTTCTGCTGGGGTGGTGTCTGCTCAAGACACTGCTGCTGCTTGCTGAGTGATGGTAACCTTCAGGTTGAAAGTTAGCCCTGAACAGTAAATCATTGAATCAGTCAGGCTGGATGTTAAATATCTTCTAAAAAACCCTACACAAACCACAACAGAGTATTGTATTCTTGTCCTGGGCCACGCTTCTTCAGGCATGTTGGTTTTAGGCCTCTCTTACTGCAGTGTCTCCCTGTTATCACTTGATGGGAATGAGACATGGGTAACATCCACAGAAGTGTATAATTTGCTCAGGGGCAGTGAAGGAACATTTGTGTATGTTTGTGACTTTGTGTTGCTTTGCTACCAATATTGTTAGAATCATAGAATAGTTAGGGTTGGAAAGGACCTTAAGATCATCTAGTTCCAACCATGCTGCCCCCTGCTGCAGGGACACCTCACACTAAACCATATCACCCAGGGCTTTGTCCAACTTGGCCTTGAGCACTGCCACAGATGAAGCATTCACAACTTCCCTGGGCAGCCCATTCCAGTGCCTCACCACCCTTACAGTAACAAACTTCTTCCTTATATCCAATCTAAACTTCCCCTGTTTAAGTTTTAACCCATTACCCCTTGTCCTATCACTACAGTCCCTAGCGAAGAGTCCTGCCCCAGCATCTTTATAGCCCCCCCCCCCCCCCCAGATTCTGGAAGGCTGCTATGAGGTCTCCACGCAGCCTTCTCTTCTCCAGGTTGAACAGCCCCAACTTTCTCAGCCTGTCTCCATACGGGAGGTGCTCCAGTCCCCTGATCATCCTCGTGGCCCTCCTCTGGACTTGTTCCAACAGTTCCATGTCCTTTGAGGACACCAGAACTGCACACAGTACTCCAAGTGAGGTCTCACGAGAGCAGAGTAGAGGGGCAGGATCACCTCCTTTGACCTGCTGGTCACACTCCTCTTGATGCAGCCCAGGATAGGGTTGGCTTTCTGGGCTGTGAGTGCACACTGAAGCCTACTCATGTTCAGTTTTTCATTGACCAACACCCCCAAGTCCTTCTCTGCAGGGCTGTTCTGAATCTCTTCTCTGCCCAACCTGTAGCTGTGCCTGGGATTGCTCTGACCCAGGTGTAGGACCTTGCACTTGGCACAGTTATACTTCATAAGGTTGGCATCAGCCCACCTCACAAGCGTGTCAAGGTCCCTCTGGATGGCATTCCTTCCCTCGAGCGTATCAACCGAACCACACAGCTTGGTGTCATCAGCAAACTTGCTGAGGGCACACTCAATCCCACTGTCCATGTCAGCGATGAAGATGTTCAACAAGACCGGTCCCAACACGGATCCCTGAGGGACGCCACTCGTTACTGGTCTCCAGCTGGACATTGAGCCATTGACCACAACTCTTTGCATGCAGCCATCCAGCCAGTTCTTTATCCACCGAGTGGTCCATCCATCAAATTGATGTCTCTCCAATTTAGAGACAAGGATGTCGCATGGGACAGTGTCGAATGCTTTGCACAATTCCAGGTAGATGACATCAGCTGCTCTACCCCTGTCCATCAGTTCTGTAGCCCCATCATAGAAGGCCACCAAATTGGTCAGGCAGGATTTCCCCTCAGTGAAGCCATGCTGGCTGTCACCAAGCACCTTGTTGATTTTCATGTGCCTTAGCATGCCTTCCAGGAGAATCTGCTCCAAGATTTTGCCAGGCACAGAGGTGAGACTGGCTGTTACTTTTTTTGGTTGAAAGAGACCTTTTTCGTGGCTCTTCCTATTCTGACAAAGACAAGCATACAGCTGATAGTATTGGGAGGGAAGATGCAGGTGTGTTAAATGATCTTTCTGCTGTAATTTTGCCTCCCCTTTTTTAGCAGGGATCGGTAAAAGGTGTTGATGTGGTTTGGGAGGAAAGAAAGCTTGGCTCCATATTAATCTTTGCCTCTGGGGAAAAATGGTGCTGCACCTTACTGATCTTAAGGGGGAGTTCTGTCCTTGTTCTGATGCAGCTGGCATGTGACTTTAGAGATTTAAGGCTTCCGTAACAGAAACAGCCTTAGGCAAGGTTTATAGGTTCTATCTGGAGATTGCTGGGAGCGCCAGTCTGGCAGTGATTAGGTGATGGCTTTTTGAAGTGGAGGAACTGGATGATAAGCTGTGAATGAATTTAGCAGAAGGAATGAATGAAATTCAAAAGAATCCTGGTGGGTCCTTTTCTTTTATTCTGAATTTGGGGAAAGAATCTGCTTGGGTAGTGGGTGGGGAGGGTTTTGCCAAATAATCTGAACATTTGAATGGCCGCTGTTTTTGTGCTGATGAGCCTGCAGTGCTGTTTTGTGCTGAGCACATGCTGCTGTTTGATGCCTCACTACAAACTGTGTTCTGTACCTTTCACCCTTCAGGGAAGTCTAAAAAGTAGCGTGGAGATGGAGCATGTCCTGTGGAATTTCTGTCTTCGAGTGGACTTCTAGATCTCTTTGGCCTTTCTGTCCCTGCTGGGAGCCCCCCAGCTCTTCAAGCGAGATTTGATCCCTGTTAGAAATAGGGGCAAGTGGCCATCTGCCTCACATCCCTCTGTAGCATGGCCCTGGTTTTAGCTATTAGAATAGAGAAGATTTTAGCAAGGAGCCAAGAGGTTGTGACATTCTCTAGCCCTCGCATTTTTCTGCCCCTGTAAAGAAGGGCAGGGTGGATCAGAGCACTTGAATCACAAGGAATGCTCTGTGGCTATGTCTCCAAGATCCTGGATGT